TAGCTCACTCAACAACTAAGTTCTCCTTTAACTTCCCCCCTCCCCCCCAAAAAAAAACCTGCAAAGATTCCCCCAATTTTTTTGTCCTCACATGGGTTCCCCCATTTTTCTCATCTTCACATGGGTTCCCTCATTTCACGCGAACGGCTGGTCGCGTGGTTGGGAAATTTCTGCACCCCTGAGGGCAGCACCCCCGATGAGGCTACTCGAGAGGAAACGCAGTGGTTGAAACGCTGTCCCTCGGAACCTCGCCTCAAAATCTAAAAACCCGTAAGAACTTGAGTACTTTCATAGGAAGAGTACAGACAACTCGAAAATTTGGAGGTTGGGTTTCATCACTTGAAAGGTTAAAAGTTAAATTGTTTACTCACTTGCACGTTTTTTTAATCATTTTTCCGCAGACGCGAACTCGAATTATCCAGTGGTACTAATTTTCTCATTTCAACTATTTACACTGATCAAAAATTATAAAAGCACGTATAAAACTTTGATTTCGCATTAATTTTCTCGGTTTCAATGTCTTGATCCTTTAAAACTCTTGTTCAGAATGCGCTGTCGGCCCTATTGATTAATGTTTCAAATGCAGAGGTTGGCAGCGGCACTTTTCTAATGCTTTCAGTTTTTTGCGTTGTCGCCCTTTAGGGCCGTAAGAGCTACATAAACCGAGTTGCCTATACTCTCCCTATAAAGGTGTATTCTAGTTAAAACGGAGGTAATTGTGAGAAGGGTAGTAATTGCGAGGAGATTTTGGGTTGTGACTGTGGGGTGTGATTTAGGTACCTCTGAGGGCTTTCATGTGGGCGACAGCCATGCGGAGGATGGTGAGCTTGTCTGGTTTCCTGGCGAGGGCGCTGCAGGTGGGCACCATGTCCGACAGCTCCGTGATGTACGCCGTCATCTTGTTCCGCCGCCGCCGCTCGATCTCGCAGTGGTTCTCCCGACTGAAACACAAACAACAACACCACATTACTCTACCGCAACACCCACCATTCCAGCCTCAATTATCAGCAGTCAACCATCAAAATACGATTCTCACACAGGAACAGCTCGGAAGGGAGCTTACGTAAATCATATATGCCTTCCTGGGGGCCGATTGGAATTGATAGACAAAGCTGTAGACAAACAAGATAAAAGGAAAATGGAGCAATCCTCTTGGTTGAAGAGGGTGGTTCCAATACTGCCGTGCTAGGGAAAAACGCAGTATGAACCTTCAGGCCAAATTTTCTTTGATAATACGCGAAATTCCTGGTAAACTTACGTATATTTTCTTTCCAATTTTTCAGATAATTTTGTTCGCAATTTCACCTATAGTCCCTGAAAATTGCGGGTAAAAATATTCATATCTTTCCTCGAACATAAACATTTTAATGAAGGAAATTAGGCAACTCTCGAATGTTCATACGACGTTTTTTCCTTAGCACGGCAGAATAGTCAAAGGGAGAAAATGATGGACTGGCTGTAGGGACTCTCGTAGGTTGCCGTCAGTTAGTCTATTACCTAAGTGCCTCCTTCGTCCATTGCAACTACCCGCTTCCACCAATGGAATCCCTCCGAATCCATTGCGTCTTCTTTGTCGAAAGCTTTGTCTATCGATTTCAATAATCGGTCCGCTGGTCTATTAGGAGAGCCTGGGGTGTACCCCACCCCATAACGATAGTTAAACGCACTATGAGGAACACTTCGCAGCGATAAAGAACCTTTACCATAATGTTCAGAAAATTGAAAGAAGGCTTCCGAAGAACTTCCGTCAAACGCCGAATAAAAAAAGAAGTTGATTTAATCTTGAATGTAAAAAAAAGTGTGCGATAACTTATAAAATGCTGAATTACCCGCCACAGTGGCTAGTTTTACATCTTGGAACTGCTTCAGTAACTGATGTAGCGGGTAATTCAGCATAGTATAAGTTCTTGCGCATTTCTCTTTTTTTTTACATTCAGAATGTTAAATCAGCTTCACTTTTTTTTCGGTGAAGGCTTCCCAAAATTCAATCGAGTGACTCTCCTGGGATTAGACTTTGGCGCCTATGAAAAGAAATCCTAAATCTTCTATAACGTCTAGAAAAGTACAGCATAATTGAAATATAAAAGTAATGCGTTACGAGAGTTGGAGCGCTTACATATACGAATCAATTACATGTAATGAGAAGCTGAGTAAATAATAATTTCACTTGAGGCAAGACGGTCAGACATGCCTTTTTCATGTTACTAACAACTTGACGACAGTCGGGTAGCCTAAGACCGCTCATTTGCTCCATTTCAACGCATTTTCTTCCCGCTCATACGTATCAATTTCGAGTAAAAGCAACACTGTTGAACCACGTACACTCTTTGTGAATAAAAAAGTTAAAAAACTTACTAGCTAAAATTTTAGGGGCCACGATTTACGGAATGTGGCTGCTGAGAACATCTTGTGACATGTGTGAAAAAAGAGGGAGGAAGATACATAAAGAAAGACTAGTCGATTTAGCGATTCTAAATTAATACTCACGCTTTTTTCAAAAATGTAGTTTTTGATGGTAAAATTAATTAAAATTGTAAAAAATGGTAAAATTAAACGATAAAATTAAACATGAGAGAACTGCGTGAAAAACACGCACGGGCAAGCATTCATGAAGTCCACAGACTCGCTGGTCCGACACGGCAAAGATTTCTTCCGAATAAGTCTTCCGTGGTGCTAAGTACTAATGTGAGGGTAAATAAATACAACAGACCCAAATTCCATTCAAAGATTTGGCGAAAGTTGGAGCAGTTGATAAAATTGATTGAAGCTCTAAAATAGCATCTGCTAATGGCGCAATGCATGAGAATCAAAGAATTCCGAATCCTAGAATAAAGCCTTGTATTCAGTTCTGTGGTAAAACGATCTATCAAAACGAAAACGCGCTCAAATGGAGTTGGTAATATCCGGTTTTTCGAAGGCATTCGAGGCCTTCACTGACCGGTATACAAAATTAATTGCTGGTCGTACCTTTCTTAAAATTGAGTATAGAATCTTTATTAGTGATTTCTAAAAAAATTTCGGGAAAGTAATTCAGTTGAGCAGATTAAATGGTCAAATGCGTTGGTTGAAAGACGGATCTTTTACATTTCTGGTGTTTTCGAGGGCGTTTAACCAATCCTCTGAAAAGGATGTTTCATAATTTGTATCAATTTCATATTCTCGTGAAATTGCAGGGAAAATGTCAAGCAAAAATGCCCTTAGGTTCCATTCAAGCCATGTTACCTTGCATTTTTCACTTACCTGCCCGCGTCGATAAATTATCAAAACATGGTTCAGTAACTGGGGCGATAGGCCCTTTCCAATAACGCGTTAAAAAAGCGAGGAAATTCAATAAATTCGGATTAAAATCAATCGGGAAAAAACTAACAATAATGAGTAGACCGCAAAACCAAAATTTATAACTCCTTTTAATTTTTCCTGGAAGTTATGTTAGTCGGCCATTATGTTAGTCGGCGGCATCTGAGAAGGTTCCCAAAATAATGACATTTAAAAATTAACATAAAAACCCGACTTGGAATAGCGTTCTAACGCGAGGGGTAGGAGCGTTTCCCTTTCGATCAATGGCGATGCTATGTTAAGCCGGAAGGAATCTGATGGAGGACTAATGATGATTCGATAGGGACCACGACATTCCGCAAGGTCGCCGACAATGCTCCGACGCAGACGGTGGTCTCACAATCCAAAGGGACCCACAAAAGCACGAGACACCTCAAAGGGACAACTCGCCATGACTGCAGGCACAGGTGTGAATCCTCAATGCACACCTTATCAGATGATGATTCTCGGTAGAGCACAATCAATGTCGTCCCTTCTTTCTTCGTGTTCACTCGTTTTACAAACCGAGGGAGAAGTGTAAATACAATTATATAATACATGTACAATACACGCCGATATACTGTCGTGCTCAGCAAGAACGTCGTATGAGCCTTCAGACGTTGCCAAGTTTCCTCCGATAAAAACTGAAATTACTTAGGATATTTTAAATATTATTTATTCAAATTTCCAGACAATTTTGTACACAATTCAATCTGAAATATCTGAAAATTTCAAGGAAAATATGCATGAATGGAGAATTTGCAAGGGTCTGAAATTTGATGAATTTCCTGTTTACCGAATGTTCATACGGCCTTTTTCCTTAGCTCGGCAGTATAAAGGAGGAGCTCTTGCAGCTACCGCGGCTCATGCCAGATCTAGGAGTCTCCTATTTCGTCATTCTTATCAACCCCACCCTTCAAGTAAGGGTTGACGCTTCTAACAGTCGGACTACATTTTGAACAATGGGACTACTACATCTGGGTCGTTTCAGAAACACTGAAAAAAAATTCTCGGCGTTTTTACCACGGTCCGTTGGTACATTTACCATCTCACTTTTTTTACCAATTATTGGTAATTTTACAAAGACAGACTGGTAAGCTTACCTAAAAACCGGTATTTTTACTGTTTTTTCAGGTAAGAATACCACTTTTATTGGTAATCAATTCCGGGTAACTTTGCCATTTTATCTCGGTAATTCTACCACACTCGATAAAAAATATTGGCGTTGTACCAGGGTCCAGTAAAATTACCGAGAAAGTTCAATAATTTTACCGAGATTTCTCGGTAAAATTACCAATTCCATAAATGGTAATTTTACCAAGAAAAGACTGGGATCAAATAGAACCCTGAATTCTTGGTAGTTTTACCCTTTTCTTAGTAAATACACTGAGATTTTTTTTTCAGTGTAACAACGTAAGTGCTACTGATTTCCCCGTGCAGGTACGTGATTTGGTAGTTGAGTCTGAAATAGCGGTTCCGAATTGCAAAGTACTGTCTTATGTCGGGTATGAATACTGAGCCTGTCATAAAAATGTTTGACGGTCCACAAGCAAAGGAAAAACTCAAAATTAAGATATTAATGCCACAGCATGGATAACAGTTTTGCCAACATTTTGAAATGAAAATTCCCAAATATGCGGAATCGAAGTTATAATGGCCTCTAAAGATGCTGTACAAAAAACTTTCGTTTGAACACTTTTCTGAAGGCTTTTCTGAGAAAAAAATACTTAAAATTGCAATTTGTGATCATTTGGGCTTACACTGTCGATTAAAATAAGAAATCGCGCGCTATTCATCGTACGGTGATGATAATTTGTAAAACGCACAAAAGAAACGATGAAGCGGGGAATTTATTCATTTAAAAAAAAAATGTAGCGGTGGTGCATTGTTTCGAACCGGAACACCAAATCAAGAAATACAGTCTCACTTTTTCAAGTTCGACGGTGGGCTAATTATTGAAACTGATAGACAAAGCGGTAGACAAGGAAGACTAAGTGCAAATGGAGCGAACACATTGGTTGAAACCGGTGGTTGTCATAGATTAGAGGGAGAATGATAAGATTAATTATAGAGTCTCTCATGGGCTGTCATTATTTAGTCTACTCCTCGGTCCTCACATCCTTCATTCATTGAAACCGCCCGCTTCCACCGCAATATGGACGTATTTCTGCCAAACGGAGCTATGTGCATTAAGACGCGAGCCCTGAGACCCATAAGAATACGTCCATAACGGGGCTCACGTCATAATGCACATAGTTCCGTTTGGCAGAAATACGTCCATATGATCGCTCTATTTTCCGTTTGTCTATAGCTTTGTCTATTGATTTCAGTGCTGCAGCCTTCTGGATTTATTAATACGAGATACCCTCTAATAACAACCGCGCACGCGCGAGGAGCCGAGAGAGGGGACCCGGGGGGAGGGGGGGGGGTGTTAAAATCCATCTGAATAGACCGTGAGCGCATCGGCCTCCAATTTTTCAATCGCTTTTTCTCTCATTCAATTAGAAATTTTCTACGGAGCTAAGTCGAAGCTCGGAGCTTCATTAAAGAGAGAAAAAAAGGAAGAAAAAAGGCCCGTGATGGACGGGAAGGGCGGGAGGGGGGGGGTTGAAGACGAGGGGACGCGCATCACAAAGCGTTGTCATCAGCCATAGTTGCCACATAGTGCAGTGGCGTGACGTGCTTTACGATGAATCGATTGATCATTGATCTGCCATTTGAATCGACGGGAAAGGATCGATAAACGTGGTGTTCGCAGCGAACACCTTAATAGTCGATTCTTTATCATAGCTCCAAATGGGGCAATATCGATAATCGATCATTCACACCTGGCCACTGAGATAGTGCTGAAAAATCAGATTTGTTCCCAGGTTAACCCGTGTAAAATATCCACATTTTATGGGAGACTCTGGCAAGCTTGTCACCAGCGCAGCGCCAAGGGGGCCGCAACAAAAGAGTGATAAGGTGAATGAGGGTCGCCCCCACCCTTCCGCAGTCCCACCCCACGACAAAACAACGTATCCACCAAGGGTTCCTCATCGGCGTTGGGTGGTTGTTCCCGCTGGGAGGGATCACCCTCCATCCTCCACCCGTTGCATCCTTCCCGGGAGGCGATAGAAACCTCGTACGTTCAAGGGATTCCGCCTGGCAGTGCGCGGTTGTTCGCACAGCGACAAAAACGTCGTACGTCCAGGGATTTTCCACGGGCGGAACGCGGTTCTTCGGCGGGAGGTCCGAGGAACAGAAAGCGCATACGTCGGCGGGTTTCCCGGGGGGCGATGTGCGGTTGTTGCGAGGCCGGGCGGACAAAGGTGACGTTGATTACGGACGGGGGCCGCAGCGGAGACGCCTAAGTGGACGGGGTTTCCTCGGGGAGTT